GAGACCTTAGTTTTCACAGGAGCTACAGTATCCAGAGTCGTACGTAGTGAGGAGGTAAAATTATTAACAAGATAATCGACCTCTGTTGGAGTACTACTCAATTTATTTTGGGCCTCAGAAATGCTCACTCTGCTTGTATATCACTTATTGTCAGCAATAGAGCTCATTCCGCTTTGTGGAAATAAACACAGAAAAAATAGACATCACTTCCTCTTTGTTTTTGATGCAGCGTTTTATCAAATTAGAGTTGCATGAAAAACAATGAAACAGCTTCTAAAAGTTTGAGATCAAAGCAAATCTCTGTCACCAAATTCCAGCAGGATCTTCACCAGGACCCTTTGTGATAGTTTTCATGTTTCATATAAACTAAAGTGATACACAACATATGCAGTGCTATACACACATATTTTCATGTTTCTAAGAGTTTGATAACCAAGCTGTTTCCAACATGCTCTCGTTCAACATGGGAAAAACACAAGACTAGTTTCAAATGAGGATTTGCTGTTTATTAGATAAACCACATGCATTATGATACCTCAATACAATTATATTCTGGTTAGAAGTGCATTCAAAACTATTGAGTCAATAATTTCAGCTTATATGGCGGAAATCTTTTCAAATCATGAGCTTCCAACAATGAGTGAAACAGTAAGATCTTGTGGAGAGTTTGGGAAAATCCCATTAAGAAAGAGAAATCAAACATTTGGATTCATTTTAATGAGCTCAGACTTGTTGAAAATGTAGAGGAGCTCATAATAATAATACATTTTATTTATTTAAAAGCATCTTTCAAAACACCCAAGTACAGCAAATAAAAACAGGCATAAAAAACATGAAAAAACATGAAAAAACATGAAAAAACATGAAAAACATGAAACGGGCATAAAAAAAACATGAAATAAACACAATAAAAAGAGTAGCAGATGGAAAGTTTAAGGTTAGGGATAGGTTATAAGGAGTAGGCAATTTTAAACAGGTGGGTTTTGAGGTTGGACTTAAAAAGAGGAAATTAGGTAATGTTTCTCAGGTCTGGGGGTAAGGAATTCCAAAGTTGGGGTGCAGAGCGGCTAAAAGCCGTGCCCATAGTAACAAGACGAGAGGAAGGAACAGAAAAAGAAAGGGAGTTGGATGATTTGAGGCACTGGGAATGGATGGTGATATGAACCAAGTCAGAAAGGTATGGTGGGGAGAAAGAATAGCCCTAAATACTGTAGTTGTACCTTAAAAGCTGGTTGTGAGCTGAGCTTCAGAGAAACACAACATACTGATATTCACTGTGAAGCTTTGAGTGGAAAAATACAGACATGTGCATCCTGGAATAATGGGAGCTTCCATCTTTAAAGGACTGAAGAGGAAGAAGTTTACAAGGAATCATTTAGAACAGTTTCAAACATCAACTGATTGAATCCAAGAATTTGAAAACATGTTTCTGAGTGAAAGAAACAGACATGTACAGACTGTTCAACGGTCAGAGAGTTTCTCTAACAGGAGGACACTCTTTACACTCAGCACAGAGTGACTGAGGAACCAGACCAGACCCAAAACCCAGCATAAAGAGTTTCAGTGAATGTGGTGTTGAAGGTGTGGAGGTGGATCAGAGTGTCAGAGGAGACTCTATAGAAGGACAGAGTGCCAGCAGGACAATCCACATACACTGCTACTCTGTTAGAGACAGAGGAGGAGGTGGAGATGGATATTTCTCTTTTATTGTGCTTGACATGACGAGGACCATCACCAGAGCAGTACAGACTCCACGACTGATCATTCCATCCAAACCAACAGTCTTTGCCCTCTCCTTTCCTTCTGATTCTTCTGTAACTCACTGATATGTAAATGTATCCTCTCCACTCAACCTCCCAGTACCAGCGACCAGACAGACCATTTCTACACAGCAGCTGAGGATAAACATCAAATCTGTCTGGATGATCAGGATATGACTGAACTTCCTTCACATGTGTCACCTTCTTGTTGTTGTCAGACATTTGGAGGTTTGTGTGTACTGTGTTTGTGTCGATTGTGAGTTGACAGGAATCTGATGGAGAGAACAAAAACAATCCAACAGCAGTTATTGATCCATCACCTGTTCATTGAATAACACTTTGATGATGACTTTTGACTTTAGAGATGTGAATGAGTGATGTGACAGATTGAAGATGGTTGAATGTGTGCTGCTTTGTTTTCATGAATCACATTAAAAAAACACTTACACTTCCTCAGACCTGGTCTCAACCATTGGACTCCAGCAGGCTCCACCCTGAAAGGAGGAGGAGGGTCAGACCAGCACAGTCTCTTTCACATGGACATTACATGGCTCTCATACACATACTGTTAGACACTAATAAAGGAACAGTCCAACATTTTCACAAATTTTCACAATTTACACTTCAATCCACTTGTGAATCAAACTGCTGATGATTTGGACTGATCCTGGATCCGTCAGATCCGGCGCTATGAATTGTGGGATATATGGGACCACGAAGCATGCTTGATATTTGGGGAAATCGATGGCGCATTTGGAGTATGTATTTGAAGTACACTTCGAATTGGGACAGCCGTTGTCGCGTGGCGGTGACGTAACCGCACTTAAAATGCGTACTTCAAGCGTGTAGACCCTGAATTGGGACACAGCGTAAGACAAGTGCACGGGAAGATTTCCACACCCCACACACCGCGGCTCTTCCGTCCTCCTTTTATAGATTAAGTCCACAGGGGGAGCCAGTTAGTTCAGGCTGTTCCTTCCGTCCACCAATCACAGCCGAGCCCCTGCACAGGTGAACTGGCATACACACATTCAGAAAAAAAACAACAACAACACAGACACGTAACACAGATCATAACCCGCTTGTGTTTCTTTCGCGGAGGCAAAACTCCAATCAGCGAGGCTTGCGTTGGTCCCTCCTTTTACAAGACTTCAACTTACAAATTAGTCATAAAAAGGGCCTCGATAATGCCATTGCCGATGCCCTATCCAGAGCAGTGTAACCGAACAGGAATTAAACAAACAAGAAATTGTTTAATTCTTATGGTGGGGGCGTGTTACGTGCGTGTGTTGTTTGTTTGTTTCTGAATGTGTGCGGTGTGAGGTGTGTGGCTGATCGATGAATGTTTTGAGATTAATCTAGCTGATGATTTTTCTTTTGTTGCAAAGTTGAACCTGTCAATTAGGTTTGGTATGATTTACCCTCAGAGATGAGGAGCATGTGTCATGACTTAACTAGGCCTTTTTATTTCTTCTTTTGTTACTTTCACAGTGTCCTGCAAGTTTTGTTTGATAATCTCTGTCGTTTGAGCAGATCTGCACGATTAGAAAGGTAAGCACTATACGATATGTTGTCGGGAAATGGTTGCAATTGAGCTTTTCCATATTGAAATGGGTTCTGGAGAAAGCCACTTATTTGGGACACAATCAGAAAGCGACTCCCGGTCTTAAAGGATTCACCGTGGTAATCTGATCTAAATTCTTTTTCTTTTTGAATTTTCGTCATATTGCTGACAGTGAGAAACTCAATGCAACAACAGTTTTCACTATGAGCCATGAATAAATCATAAAAAGGGGACCTGACTGACTGATAGGAGTGGACTGACTTGACTGACTTGACACCAACATGTAAGATTGCATATGCCTCCACCCAGAAATGACAAAGGGGTGGATGGAGGTATCTATGTGTGTGTTTCTCTGTTTTTACAGGAGCAGAAAGATGACAGCAACATCCTAGGTTGCATGAGCTTTGGGCCATGCCGACTTAACCTCTTAACAGCCACTTTCTGTGTCTGTGAATTTATTATGTGTTATTCATGACCTTGTATTGCTCACAATGTAGAGGTCACTGTGAGAAAGTGTGCATACACCTGCGGTGCGCTTACATTTACTTTTCAATTCAATTTCAATTAAATTCAATTTTATTTACATAGCGCCAAATCACAACAACAGTTGCCTCGAGGCGCTTTATATTGTACAGTAGATCGTACAATAATAGATACAGAGAAAAACCCAACAGTCATATGACCCCCTATGCGCAAGAACTTTGGCGACAGTGGGAAGGAAAAACTCCCTTTTAACAGGAAGAAACCTCAGACAGAACCAGGCTATGGGAGGAGCGGCCATCTGCTGCGACCAGTTGGGGTGAGAGAAGAAAAACAGGAATAACACCATATAAGACACATGTTGAGCTAAAAATGTTAGAACTCTTGCAACTGGCGTTTGAGCTGTGCAGGGGTCTCTCTCTTCCGGAAGATAATTGAATAAAAAGAAACATAAATCTTTTAACACACTATGAGTCGGTTTTCTCTGTTCTATCACAGGGACAAAAGAATCGGGGTTAATACTAGCCATGCCATGCAGCATTCCACAGGCAGCAACATCGTAAGAGAACTGTTGCTAATATGGGATGCCTTGATAAAACGAGCAGATATTTGAAGTTTACACAGCTACATTCTCGCCTGAAAATATCTTTAAAGTTTATTTTGTGATCTAGAAACACTAATAAAAGCAATATATAAAATGAAGAGGTGGCCACCATTGTTTTACTCGTGTGCTATGAATTGTGGGATATGGAGTTTTCCACCAAGCATACACCCTTGCGGTTACAGTAACTATTCAATGGTTCGCGCAACCTTAAAAATTCCAATGGTTCCTGAAAGCAGCGACGCTGTGCGCGCCGTTGATATTTTCGTCATTACGGTAATCCAAATAAGGGTAGACAGGCCGTACCACTCCCGGAATACCACTAGAGAGCGCCAACCTACCACAAATGAAGTGGGCAAAAACTTTCCCATTCATTTCAATAGGCAAAAACCTGTATTAAAATATTAATATTTAAAAAAATAGAAAGTAATAAACACCAAAAGTCATAGCACACCATTCTTGATCCAGCCGCACAAAATGATATAACATATATGAAGCTTGTCTTGAAACTGCGGGGTGAGTTACGCCGCAAAATTTCAGGCGGAAACTATGGAATAAGAATAATAAATCTGAGGAATAGCAATAAGTGTGCCTCTTGGCATAGACACACTTAATAAATGCATTTCTACAGTGCTGCTTGAGTTTATATCTGTCATGGTCGGACGGTCCTTCCCGGGCGACCTGCCTGTGTGTGTGTTTCTCTCTCTCTCTCCTCCTCCCCACCCTTGTTGTCTCCACGCAGCAGCTGACACACCTGCACCTAATTTGCCACCCAGCTGTCACTAATCATCCTTTGTCGTGGGCTGAGGCATTTAACTGTGTGTCCAGACGGCAGTCGACGCTGGATTGTACTTGAAGCTCAGTAGTTAAAAGTGTTTGTTACTTGCAACTCTAGCTTTAGCCGGCTAGCCTTCTCACCTGTTGTTGTCGCTCGTTTATAGAAGGAAGAGACATGGAGCAGGAGGTTGGAGAAGAGGAACCCACGGAATTAAGCTCTCGGAGGAGAACACACACTCGGATAATCACTTTGGAAACTCACCTGGAGAGGATCACTGTTGGATTTTGCACTTCGCTTTGTGTTTTGAGACTGTTTTTGGGCACTGTAAATAAACGCACTGTTTGCTTCGCATCCAGAGCTCTGCGACTGAGTCCGTATTTTCCCATTACCTGTGACAATATCTATAGAAAACATCTCCCTGTAGTTGTTCTTCCACAGCTCTAATTTAGAAATGAGGATTTTTTTCTTTTATGTCAAAATTAGGCTTAAAGTTTCTACTGGTTTTAATTTAGGATAAATATGTCAATGGCATCCCAATACACAGATTCATCTAATCTGTTCTTTTGCATATACTGAGATGTCTACCAATTTTTATTGATCAGTTTATTTCATATCTGCATGAAAAAAAGGAAGTGACTGATGGACACGGGAAGTTTTTCCAGCTCTTCCTCCTCTATTGGACATTCTCTCCATACCTGAGAGTGTCCAGTCTCCAGCATGGATCCTTCACTCCAGCCAACAGCAGCTTTCTTCCTGAGTCTCCTGGATGATTGTAGCTCAGGTCGAGCTCTCTCAGATGGGAGGGGTTTGAGCTCAGATCTGAGGCCAGAGAACGACAGCCGTCTTCTGTGATCAGACAGCCTGATAGACTGCAGACACACAAAACAACAATCCATCAGGGAACAATAATTTTCTATTTACCACAAACAATAACATTTATTCATTCCCATTCATTTTATTCTGCCTATCAAATTACAGGTTCAGCATCAGTCACCGTGGTGATCTAGCCAGGTAAAAAGAGCACCACTATAATGACACTGAAAATGCCGACTTCAAGCTCAGTATACCTTACTCGCCCATGAGACTAGGCTTCCAAGGCTCTCATGCAATGATTTTCATTAATACCCAGTAGACACATATTATTGCCAAACATCTCATATCGATGTAAAATATCACAAATTACTTAATTAAACAGTGTATGAAGCGATTTTCTTAGAACATTTGAATAAAAAAAAATGTACTATGAAAAATCTTTAGACTGCAATTCAATTTTTGATAATTCTCCCAAAGGTAAATAAAACTCAGTATAAATGTTTGATTTTTTTGCACAGTTATATGAATCAGATTTTAAGACATCAGAGGAAAAGTCTGAATCCTTACCAGAGAACTTCCAGTTTGCAGTGTGGACTCTTCATTCCAAGAGACAGAAGCTTCACTCCTGAATCAAACAGGTCATTGTTACTCAGGTCCAGCCCTATCAGACTAGATGGCAGGGAGCTGAGAACTGAGGACAGAGCTTCACAGCTTATCTCTGAGAGGCTACAGAGGCTTAGACTTAAAGTTAAAACAAGAACAAGAGAAGGACACTGTTTTAAAAATGTAATCATTGTGTAGTTTGAAGCTACTACATTTAGCAATAGTTTACTTAGTTTGGAGCTACTACATTTAGCAATAGTTTATTACATTTATGATTAGAAAATTCACAATTTAAATTATAAAAAGAAAGAAAGAAAGAGAAATCAACAACAATGAAATAACAAATAAAGAAATACAGTTAACTTTTTTTAAAGCTAAAATTGTTAATTAAATAATTAATCCATGGATCTATTTCTACTCCATATCCGGGTGTTACACCAAGCAATTAGAAAGGTAAACTGACCAGTAAATCAGGTTTTAGTGCTAAGCCTCACTTTTATGCTCATCTCTCAGTATAGTGACCAAAAGCACTAGACACCCATTCCTTGGCCCAAAGGCACAAAGGAAAACCCTAAATTGACCATATATAGTCAGGGCTCTAGAGTGCGACCAATTTGGTCGCAAATGCGACCAAATCTTTCAGTGGTGCGACTAAAAAAAATATTTGGTTGCACCTGTGCGACCAACTGTTCGGGTAGCAAAAAAAAAAA